AAAAGTTGCAGAGTTCAGGGAGGTCTGGTGGCCTAGTGGCAAGAAGCTGCACTGCAATCCAAGATGTACACAGTTCGAATCCACCACATGCTCTGCTAGAGAAGGAGGGACAATCTCCTCCTATACCTGTCAGATCTGATTTGATGGTACACGCACAAAACATAATTTTTTTTAAAAAAAGAATATAATTTAAAAAGTTGCAGAATTCTTGTTATTTTGTATATTATTTGTGCTAATTTTGAGTAGTTTACTGATTTTACCTGAATGTCATTTGTTTTAATGAGACAAATTTGTATATAATTTCTAGTAGCTATTTTTGTAACTCCAGTTCTTTATGTGCATTGATAATTTTAACATATATAGAATGCTATAAACTACTGCTATGTTGAACTGAAAACAAAAAGAAAGGATAAATTTGGAAAAAAATTTTCCATTGTGGACTCTGGCAGAAAATCTCAAGTGGGTAGAAAATATTTAAGGAAATAAAATTCTTTTTTTTAAATTTTTTTAAAAAATTTTTTATTTTTGTGTGAGTGTACCGTCAAATCAGATCTGACTGGTACAGGAGGAGATTGTCCCTCCTTCCCCGGCAGAGCATCTGGTGGATTCGAACCGTGCGCCTCTGGGATTGTAGTTGCAGCTCTTTGCCACTAGGCCACCAGAGCTCCCCTGGAAATAAAATTCTTAATCGTGTTTTAATAAAAGTGAAAAAAACCCCTATTTTACATCATTTTTTAAGAATGGAAGCATTAGCTTATCAGTACTGTTTTTCTAAAAACAGAAGAAATTCTAATATTCAATTTTTTTCTCTCTGATTTAGAATTTACCTTGAAAAGAGAAAAAAAAAGGTTTTTTGCAAGAAATTTAAAGGAAGGATTTTTTGGGGTTGCTGGACAGATTTTATATTTGTAGGGACTGGTTGACTGAATTTTGATAGAGGACAGTGTGCAGGAATGAGGTGGGAGCTTGGATAGGAGGAGGGTGTGGAGGGGCAGAGGCGTTTGACACCTTTGTGAGGTTTGGTCTGGAGGCTTGGGGAGATGGTGTGGGGCTTATTTACTGTGTGACGTCTGAAAAAGGTGTGTGTTAGGGTTGGAAAGGGAAGAGAGTGATATTGTAGTTGCAAAAGATTTTCTTTTAACTAGAAAATTAGTTATCAGGAGCTAAGAACATTGAGGAGGATGATTAGGGAGCCAGAGAGAGAGAAAAGCAGAGTGAAAAAATTTAGCTGTGTTTTCCGGCTGACCCTGGGAGAGGCCCGAGGGAGAATAATGGGAGAAGACCTTTGAATCACAAAGTGTTCTAGAGCGGGCTTCCTCTGGTGAGGCTACATTTGCTTATGGCAGTGGTGGGAGATCAGGAGGGTAGGGGCTTGAAACATCAGAGGTGAGACAGTTTTGTTTGGGAAGGGAAGAGCGCTTAGAAAGAGTTAAAAGAATTTGCAGAGCATGGCAATTTTGAGTGAGAGAACTGTCACCGCTTAGCCGAAATGGGTCTGGTGCTGTTCAGAAGGCCACCGATAGCAGAAAGCCCTGGGGCAAGGTGTCTTTTCAGCAGTTCCAAAAAGGGCCAGTCAGGAGGTGGAGAGATGAGATGAGATGAGATGAGATGAGATGAGATGGCCCAGAGGGAAAGGGGATTTGATCAGTCCCTGGGCGCCTGAGGGAAAGACTGTGGGCTCTTAACCTCAGAGGGATGGTTTTAGGCTTTCTTGGGCGATTGGGAATTGAAGACGGTGTTTGGATGTTTTCTGGTTCAAATGGTAAATAGCCTCTGATCTTTGAGCCAAGTAGGAAAGCTGACAGAAAGACAGGACAGAGATGGAAAAGTTTAGCTGATTTAGGGGGGTACAAGACAGATCAATACAGAACCCAGGCAGGCTCTTGCACCAGTCATGTGGCATAGGCTGAATAAGCCACTGCTTAACAAAGCAGGTAGGCTGCAGGTCGCTTTCCAGTGGCCGATAAGCCGTAGTGACCTTGGCCGGCAGCTTGCTGTCTGAGTGGGCCAATGTGGAGTGATGGAGAGAGGAAGAGAGAGAGAGACAGAGAGATAGAGAGGGAATGGTGTGCCTGTAATTAAGGCAACTTTCTTTTTATAGAGGGTCTTGGGGAGGGTTAGGGAGGACAGTCCCTCTTAGATTTTGGAGCCTTTAATTAACTCAGGTCTGGGCTTTTGTGATCAGGACCAGAGCCTTATGATTTATTATTTGTTCAGATCTTTGTCCTGGCTGCCCTGGGCACCATCAGGTGCCACTCAGGGGAAGTGATGAGGTCTGCGGGAAACGGCTCTGTTTTTCCTCCAATAAATCAACTCTTGGATTGAAAACATCTATCTGTGTGTTGGCAGCGTAGCTAGTTTCCTCATGGCACCACTCAAGTTCCCTGAGTTGATAGTAACATGATATCAGAATACGATGCCGTGATCCTACGTATCGACAGCAAGTCTAGAAAAATGAAACCTCTGAACCCATGCAAAGTTGCAAGGCCATCTCCGTAAGGGCCATTCCACTGTCTCCCAGAGCTGTGAATAACACGCATGCCCTAGAAGCCACACATTTTGTCTTTATTACAAAAGCAGCTTATCCCAAAGGACTCAATGTTGACAGAAACAATACCAACAGCACTTTTTAAACACTATCTATATCCCACTGTCGAAAGATGGAGCAGTATTGTTCCTTGTTCATTACAGCCCAAGAAGGATGCCAGAGAATGACTTAGGAGTTCACCGATGGTGTCAGAAAGAAAATACTGAGATTTTGGAAATGCATGATGGGCCTGATTATTTCTTAATTCCCTTCAGAATTCCTAGTTCTTTCTTTCTTAGCCCATGGCTCTCTCCCTTTCTCACTTGCTAGCCGACACAAGAGTGTGACCATTGGAAGAACTTGTGTCGCTGTGTGTTTATTTGGATCCTTGACCCTCTCATATCTGTAAGAGACAAAAGAAAACACAGCTGTTTTGCAGTGTTCCCAGGATCTGACACTGTCATCTTGCTTTCAATCTGTACCTTTTCTTAGCTGTCCTTTGAGATGTCTTCAAAGTAGATGAAATTGGCGATTCCCAACAGTCTGATGTTCCTAATTCAACCATTTCTCTCCTTTATGCTGTTTCCATTCTAGACCATATAGTCTCTGCACAAAAGTTCACACTGAAAATACCCACAGGTTATTTTAGGATGTGGTGGATTTGAAGGACAGCATTTAATAAATGAGGAAGTCACCGTGGGACGTTCAGGAACCAAATTGAAGTCTGATCGCCTGAGTCCATTTTGGAAGAAAGTGGAACTTTGGTCACAATGCATAGGATTTCTCGATTTTCTCGATCTGTCCGGTTCATTCTTGGTTCTTGGACGCATGGGCGGACATTGTACCTTCTTGTTCCAGACTTTGTTGTGTGTTTCAGGAGCCACTGTTGCTGGAGGACGTGGTCATCCTCTTCAGCCAGGAAGAGTGGACTTTGCTAAATGTGACTCAGCAGAAACTCTACAGGGATGTGATGATGGAAACCTTACAAACACTGGACTTCCTAGGTAAAAACATTGCATTTTCTCCCTTTACAAATACTTTGTATGTACACAACACTGATTCTCGGATGTTCCTTTTGAATTTTGACAGAAGAATTGGAACACAGGGTTCATAAAACAGGCCTGCTCTCTTGGCTTTTAGCACTCACATGTGGAACATTATGTCTTGATGTAAAACTCCGTGTCTGACAGTCCATTGCTTCTTCTTGTCATTGAGTGGATTCAGTTCTCCAACTCTCTTCACTGTACACATCCCCTTCATAGGTCAGGAGTGAGAGAAAAGCCTTTGGACTGGTGGGAATACCAAAATAATTTAGGTCCACATAGTTTGGGAACCACACTTTGAATTACCTAAGGACCTATCCCTATGTTGAGAGTTAGGCATTTATGTGAACCAAGTAGAAAAGGTCTGTTTTAGCTTCAGGAGAGAACAGATCATGACATATTCTTTCCTGCATCAGCAGTTCTGTGATGGAGAGAGGGTTTTTCCCCTTCTGTTTTTTATGGCATGTGTGTACTTTGTCATTTTACACGTGTGATGTGATGTGTGTGCTGTGTGATGTGATGTGCAAGGCATTTTTTGTGTTTGTCCACCCAAAGGAAACACGTTTCTATCAGAATCCCTTTCACTTGCCTCTGAAATGCTTCCTACTACGAGTCAACTGTATAAAAATAATCAGTTGTTATAAATGATGAGTGTTAAATTATGTATCGGAGGATCTTGCTTGAAATAGGAAAATGCTTACTTGGTGCCATTGTTTTCTTGCTTTCTCGATGTCAGCCCTTTTTTAGGTCTGTGTTGTTTTTTTAAAGAAAGTGAACTGATAGCAGGCTTCTCAAAGGAAAGATCTAAGTGTTTGGGTGCCAGATGTCCCTGGTCAATCTTATTTGAGGTTTTGTAGCTTGATGTGTTATCTTGCATAAAAAATAGTAGATCTGGGGAGCTCTGGTGCCCTAGTGGCAAGAAGCTGCACTGTGATCCCAGAGATAGGTGGTTCGAATCCACCAGATGCTCCGCCGGAGAAGGAGGGGCCATCTCCTCCTGTACCAGTCAGATCTAATTTGACGGTACACACACACACACACACACAAAATAATAAAATAAATTTTAAAAAAAGAATTAGATTTAAAAAAATAAAATAGTAGTTCTTTTAAAAACAGAAAAGTGCTTCCTAGTGAATAGTTTTCTTTCCTGTGAAACTTCTTTTTCTTTTTTTGGTGACAGGCATTCAGAACGTAAACGATGGAGAAGCATTATTTCCTGAATATACTCCAATGACCTTCTTCAAGACTACACATCCCTGGCCTTCCATGTTACCAAAAACTTCAAAATTGCGTAACAGAGATGCACAATGTGAAAGTCAAGAGGTCTCTTTGGGGTGAGTGGCAAAGCAAATATTTCTGAGGCAGCGCTCAGAAAGTCTCGTGATTTAATAAAACCAATGATAGGAACAATATTTTTGCTAGATGAATAAACGTGAGACTTTTGGAGGGAAAACCCACACGTCTTCAGTGTGTATTCTTTTGGGCATATAGGAACATGCTTATTTACAACTGCGTGTTGTCTATTTTTTTTTGTTTTTTTTTTCCAGAAGTCCAGCAGTAGACGACCTGTGTAATCGGATTGAAGAGAACCAGCCTGGCAGGAGGACCTGTGTCAGAATACCTCATCTGTCCTGCTGGCAAAGTCATCGTCTAGACATAAACCTGTTGAGGACTCACATTGGTGAGATCAGCTATGAGTGTAAGAAGTGTGGTAAAGATTTCTGTACCTTCTCCTCCTTCTGGATCCATACGGTCGATGACCATCAAGGGTCACTGGGTTCTGACACCTATGTCAATCCTTTCCATTCAGAGTTCCCTAAAGGGCTTCATTTTTCTGATAAGCTTTATCAGCGTCCTGAAAATGAGAAACTCCTTATTCCTTATTCCCCCGCCCTTACCAGTACGTCAGACATCACGGTAGGTGATAGAAAAAGTGTCCGTGCCGAGAAGCCTGTGACAGGTAAGGTGGGTGGAAAATCCTTTATTACGTTCTCACACCTTAAAATTCATGCAAGAACGCACGTAGGCGAGAAGCTTTACGAATGTAAAAAATGTGGGGAAACCTTTCAGCACCTTGCCTATCTCACGGTCCATGCAAAAATTCACAGGGGACACAGGCCATATGAATGTAAGAAATGCGGGAAAGTCTTTCACTGGCTTACCGGACTCAGTAAACATGCGAGGGTTCACACGGGAGAGAGACCTTACACATGTAAAGCATGTGGGAAAACCTTCCGCTGGCTCAGTTACCTCACGGTGCACGCGAGGATTCACACCGGGGAGAGGCCGTACGCATGTCAGGCGTGTGGGAAAACCTTCCGCTGGTTCAGTCACCTCACTCAACATCGGAGAATTCACACTGGAGAGAGACCTTATGTGTGTAAGGCATGTGGGAAAACCTTCCGCGTGCTCACCAGCCTCAACAAACATGCCAGGGTGCACACGGGAGAGAGACCTTACGCATGCCAGGAATGCGGGAAAGCTTTTAGTCGCCGTGGCAATCTAACCGTCCACACAAGAATTCACACGGGAGAGAGACCTTACATGTGTGAGGACTGTGGGAAAACCTTCAGAGAATCGCATCACTTCACGTTACATAGAAAACGTCACACGGGAGAGAGACCTTTTGCATGTAAGGAGTGTGGGAAAACCTTCCTTCAGTCCAGAGGCCTGATGACTCACACAAGAATTCACACCGGAGAGAGACCCTTCGAATGTCTGGAATGTGGAAAAATGTTTTCACAGCCGGGTAACCTCAGCAAACATAAGAAGATTCACACCGGAGAGAAACCCTACAAGTGTAAGGAATGTGGGAAAACCTTTTATGAGCCCAGTAAACTCACTGGGCATTTAAGAGTTCACACCGGAGAGAGACCTTACGTATGTAAGGAATGTGGGAGGACTTTTAATGACACAAGTGCCCTCCTGAAACACACGCGAATCCACACGGGACAGAAACCTCACGCCTGTCAGGAATGTGGGAAGACGTTTTTTCGCCCTTCTCAGCTCAGGACGCACACACGAAGTCACACGGGAGAGAGGCCTTACGAATGCAAGGAATGCGGGAAAGCCTTTTCCTCCCCAAATTACCTCCCTATCCACGCACGCGTTCACACAGGAGAGAGACCTTACGAGTGTAAGCAGTGCGGGAAGGCCTTTTCTTCCCCATCTTACCTTATTGTCCATGCTAGAATTCACACCGGAGAGCGGCCCTACGAATGTAAGGAGTGTGGGAAAAGCTTCCCAGGACCCACGTACCTGATCGGACACAGACGGGTTCACACGCGAGAGCGGCCGTACGGCTGTCAGGAATGCGGGAAAACATTTATACAGTCCAGTTCCCTCACTGCTCACAGAAGAACACACACGGGAGAGAGACCTTTCCAGTGTAAGGACTGTGGGAAGACATTCGCTCAGTCCTTTTACCTCACTCAGCATAGAAGAATCCACACGGGAGAGAGACCTTACGAATGTCAGGAATGTGGGAAGACATTTTCCCAGTCGAGCGACCTCACTGTGCATAGGAGGATTCACACAGGAGAGAGACCTTACGGGTGCCAGGAATGCGGGAAGACATTTACACGATCAGGTAACCTCCTGAAGCATCGTGTCATTCACACAGGAGACAGACTTCATGAATGTAAGGAGTGCGGGAAAACATTTCTACGCTTAGGGTTTCTCACCAAACATGAAAGAAGTCACCAGAAAGATACCACAGTGTCGTCAAGGTGAAGAAACCTTGATTGATTCATCACCTCTCTCTCAATATTTGAACGCCTTCTGTAGGGCAATCTGGATGAATGTAAAAAAAATGTGATCCTGTGTTCAGTCTGTCCACTGTCCACAATGTCTTGGAGCTCACACTACCAAGGACAAAGGGACTGGACTTTGGGACAATACACAGCCGCGCTGTAAATAAAAGATTTTGTTGCCTTTTTAAACTTTTCCACGTCAAAAGCCAGTGTCTTCCCCCCAAAAAAGTGCATAAAATATGACTGAAAAAAAGGTTTTTTTCTTCATCAGAATTTTAATAAGTATGTTCTAATCTACAAAAAAATGTTTTTATACATTTTCGGGTTTGAAATGAATGGTACAATTCATGTCATTAAGTGATCTCCTATTTTACATAAAGGTTTTGGTTTAATGAATGACTTTTCACGTTTATTTTGCAAATATACAGTTGGCTGGTTAAGTTTCTTAGGATGATTATGTGAGACTGCATATGTCTAAAATGAACATCCTATTCTTGTGTGTGAGAAGGACAGGTCATCTCCCTAGCCACCCCCCGAGCAATTAACTCCCTCTGAAAGCCACTGAGAGGGTCAAGTCTGCATCCCCTCCAACTCGACAGTACACAACAACAAAAACAAGAACATTTCTTGTCATAGCAAACTCAAATGTAGACAGTCCAGAACTTATGTTGAACGAGCCGTTCTTGCCAAACAGAGTATTGGTAAAATCAGAAGTGTTGTATAGACTTCTCACAATGGCCTCCCATAATCCTGACACCCTAGTAGAATATTATCTCAGTTAGTGTCCTTAAGAAAGCCAGTGTGAACAGTGAGCCTAGGACCTCACCATCGCAGCCCAGATTTCAAGAGGTACTGAGAACATATACAGAGCTGACATATACCTTCATTCTGTGCAATTCTGATTTCATTCTGTGCAAAGTTCCTTTGCTCTCATTAATGTGACAGCGCCTTCTTGCTGTAGGTAGAAGTGTCATAAGAACGTAATTAACTTTTCTGGTCTTGCCTTTGTTTTTTCTTCCCAACGTCAGCCATAATTTGTCATGATCCATATAGTCAAATGCGTTCATCAGCATTGATTTCACTGTTGGCATGACTCTTCTCATCCCAACGTGAACGTTTCTCCATCGACACGCTATTGTAGGCATTTTTTGGAAGATCTTCAGCAAGATTTTCCTTGGATGGGATATTAATGACTGTTGTTTGGTGTTTGTATTGTTTGCTATTGCCACATTCTGCCCTATGATTTCTCCTGCCTGGGGAGTTCTGGTGAGCTTATGGTTAAGACATTGATATGAAGAAATTGAATAATACCTATGGCAGCAAAGTGATCACCATAACTGCTTATAAGGATATAGCTTGAAACTGCGACCGATTTTTCAGGGCACAGGGTAAGGTCTGACTGATCGAGGACGTAGTATTCTTCATTGCTTGCTGCGTATCTCAGAGCTGGACAGTGACTGACGATGACAGAAGACCAATCAGTGCAGATGACTGAATATCCCACGGACTGCCAAGAGAACAAACAGGTCTGTCCTAGAGAGGGTCAAACCGAGCTGCTCCTTGGAGGTGAGGAATTTGAAGCTCTGTCTCACATACTTTGGGCACATGGCCAGGAGAGACCAGCCCTTGGAGAAGGACATCATGCTTATAGGGTTGCTGTCAGTTGTTGACAATTTAACAACAAGAATAAAAAAGAATTAGGCAACTTTACTCCAGCCTGAAAAGGTCTGATGGGTTTATGGGTTAGAACCAAGTTGTGAACAAAACTTCTCCTGTTATAAAAGCTGTCTTTTTCTTGTGGGGGCCAATTCTTTTCATGTAGTGAAGTCTTGTAGATGTACTGTAAGTCAAGTCATAATCCACGGGGTCCTAACTGCTAACTTACAAGCCATCATTCTGCTAATTTACTGGCATGTCTAAAGGGGGAAAGATGTCTTTTTATTCTCATCAGATTTACAGTGTTTGAAATGCAATGGAGGGACAACCATCACCTCATTTTTATTGGACCACAAAACATTTTGGGGTGGTTTTTATTTTTTTTTAAGTGCAGATGCTAAATAAACTTTCCGAATATACCGTTGTATCCTCTTCTTAGGAAAGTTTAGAGACATGTGGATTTTGCAGAATAGAAAAGATCTGGAGAAGTTTCTGAAGATTGTAAACATTCTGTGTTTTCACCTCGAAAGCAGAACGTAACCTGTCTCACAGAGTGATGTCACCCACGGGCTAAAAAAACATGGAGATAAGGAATCCAAGTGGATTCTTTGAATGCTATATAGACCTCCCTTCTTGCCTTATTGTTTTACCCCGTGGAACTCGTTTTCCGCAGGGTATTATTGTTAGTTGCTATCAAGTTGAGTAAAACTCATAGCAATTGTATGAACAACAGATCTGAACCCTATTGTATCCTGGGCCACCCTCACACTTCCTGACACACAAGAGCCCATTGCAGCAATCACCATGTCAATCCATCTAATTGAGGGTCTTCCTCTCCTTCTCCGACCCTCCACTCTTCCCTGCTCCACGGAATAACCTCTCCTCGCCACATGCCCAAAGTATGTGGGCAAAGCCTCATCATCCTTGCCTCCAAAGAGCACTCTGGCTGCACTCTCTTCGAGACACACCTGTTCCTTCTTTTGTCCGTCTGTGCTTTTCTCCAGCACCACAGCTCAAAGGCGTCAGTTCTTTTCCTGTCATTGTCCAGTTCTCAAATACATACCAAGTGACCCTGCTAGACAGTACAATATACAAGTAGTGTAAAATGCCATAGGGTGGACATGCCTATTCCGAGTTCCATGCACCTCCTAACAAGGATCTCAAGTATTTCTTCATGTATTATTTTCCCCCCCTCCAAATGTGTTTAGGTGAAGTGACTTTCCACCATCTTATAAATTTGACATTTCTTGCAATTCACTGGATGAGCCTGTCGAATCTTCCTGACAGAGCCACGGTCGTGGCCTCTCCCTCTGAGGGAACATGAGCTCTTTTCTCTGAATCACCTTGTGTAAAAAAAGGGGGGGAGGGATTCTGTGTGACTTGAACTAATCTCCATAAAGCACTCACGTCCCCATCAACTGAATCCACAAAACAGGTCCCGTTTCTACGATGATCGCTGTGTCCCCACGCTTTCTGAACCTCCTCTTGTCAATTCCAGCACCAAGCGTTTCTCCCAGGACGCCTTGTTTTACTGCTTGGTGTCCCTTCTACTACACTGCTGACAGACACCTCCCAGTACTGTTCTCATTATGACAGAGTTTATTATTGAAGTCAGCAGGTTACAATTTTTGTCAAATTCAACAGGTAAAACAGCTCTTTATTCTAGACAGCTTATCCAGCGAGCTTGGAGGTGACCGGAAGGATATCAACTGTGTTCTTAGCTTCAATCTTTATTATTATTATTATTATTATTATTATTATTTTAATGTTTTGAAGGATGTACACTGTGTTCTCTGCTTCATTCTTTAAAAAAAATAGTTGAATGGTTTATTATTGAGTTGTTTATTTTGCTGCAAGGCTATTGCATCACCAGTTTTAAATAAAAATAGCACAAGCCAGGGCAATATATGCCAAAATGCAGATAATATTGTTCTTTAGCTGACACTGTACTGCTAACAAAAACTTTACCGTTTTGCTAGGTATTCTGACCCAAATCCAAGTACGATTTGTCAGGAATTCTGCTTCATTCTTCTTCATGATGATGGTATTCCCATCTTCTACTTGAAGGCTGCTCAGTTTAAAGATGGCAAGACTTAACCAATCTGATAATACTCCTCTCACCCTGTTGGTGTATGCTCCTTCTAATACGTCTAAAAGTCAAAGGCAATACCATGCGCACGCCCTTATGAACAGTCAGCCAACTACCCACACTTAACAGGGTCAATGTGAAGATGTCCACACAATCAGTGAGTTCTGTGGATTCTGTTTCATCAACCTGGGACAGTTTTTCCAGCGCTGGACGTTATTGCTGGAAGAAATACTTCCATCTAGGAAAACTCCCACCAGACTTCCATATATTATTTGCCCAGACATAGCGGAAGGGGTGAATCACAGAGAAAAGTCACCCCTCCCAGGATCATTGGCAGACGTTGAGCCATTCTCTGCAGAAGAAAACAACAACGCAGAAGAGACCTTCATGTGGTGAACACTTTATTCTCACTGTTTGGTGTTAAACTGTGCATCTTGGAAAACATTTCTGGTGAAAAATGTTTGTAGGCTTTTCAGATCTGTGCTCTCAAGGAAAAGAGATCCTCAAGTATTGCCCTTGAGACTCTTAGGATTGTTCACATGACACTAAAATGCATTGCTATTAAGTTGATACAAAGCTGTCATGTGGCATTGAGTTGAATATGATTCATGGTAACTGTGAACAATGAATCTGAACACTGTCCTATCCTGTGCCCTCCTCATCATCTCTGAAATACTTTACTCCATTGCTGCAGTCACTGTGTCAATCCAACTTTTTTTTATTTTATAAATAGTACTTTTTAATACAAGCATTAAATACATGCACACATGGACTAAAGTAATAACCTATGGCTACATGCACCAATTTGGATGGCTTTCCAGGGAATTATGCTGAATTTTTTAAAGTATCAATTCCAAAAGGTGACATCCTCTATTATCCCATTTATATGGCATTTTCTAAATGAGAGCATTTTTCAAAATTAAGTGATTGCTGGGGGGTTGGTGTGGGAGATAGGTGTGGTTAAGTCAATCCAATGTTTTTGATGGTCTTCCGCAATCCATCGCTTAGGTGAAAGACACAGGCTGAGTTCCTTTGGGTTGTAAAGGTTGTAGGTAATTTAGAGGGTCACATGTTTGGGGTTTTTTCCCCCCT